AAAACAAAAACAAAAACAACTCCCCCCTCCCCTCATAGACTAAAGCGGTCGTGGTGGCAGCGGCGGTGGTAGTTTTTGTTTTTAATGTTTTTTTTAACGAGGGTTTGGGCAGGGGTCGGGGGTTGAGGGTCGAGGGTCGGGTTCGGGGGGGGGGGAAATCTATTTGGTGGTAATATTCTCAACACATTTCATATTCATACTTGTCACGGGGATTCCTCGTCCTCTCAACTGGTCCATAATCTGCCCGCACTCGCAGGTTGCACGTTTGATACGTTTGTTACAGCAGCAGAGTCTTTTTGTATCAGAATAATGGCATTGGTTTTTGAAAAGGGAGTCGAGGATGGAAAGGGGGGGGGGGCTTTTAACCCGTTTTAGTGTCCATTTGAATGTAGATCAGTTGGTTTTGAATTCACGTAACCGTTTACCATAAGTTTTATTTTTAAAAATCAACAGAAAACAAAAAACAAAACAACCCCCCCCCCCCTCACACAAAACCCCACAAAAAACCCCAAACAAACAAACAGAACAAAACAAAACAAATACAACCCTAGAGGTTTACTGATATGACAAACAGGAACAGTCGTTCTGTCAGGCCAACAAAGAGTCTTTCCGATGTGTCCTCAATTTTTTTTGACTGACTAAATCTTGAAATAATCATTCAAGGGTACCGTAATCACGATCTCTACTGGAACCGACACAATCTGGTGGATCGAGAATTGGGTCGGAACAAAATAACCAAGACCCCTGCTTTTCTGTCGAAATGCTAAAAGTAAAAAAAACAACAACCCATGAAGAGGAATCTTATGTAGTTTGCGAGCGCTGTAACTCAAAAGGCAACTGTTTTCTGGTGAGCACCTGGTATTTCTCAGCGGGTGGCCGGAAAGTGTCAGCAATAAGTAGGTGGGGGTCTTGTAGCAACGATTCACTTTTTGATTCTGTCCTGTTTTTAACTTCCACGCGTTGTTTCTGTTTGCGTTACTATTTCCCTGCCCCGACCTACCAGGATGGCGTCGGTGCGCTTTTCCCTTTCGTCAACCCGCAGCCACCTCCCGAATCGGCAGCCACCCCCAACCTTTGACATGGGTCAAACTTCCATCTATTTATAGGAAGTTACCGGAATATGTATAGGTGAAGTGATGTGCCGTGAAAGTCGCGATATATTATTTATTGAGATTGTTTTGGTCTCTCTTTACTCATCCCCACGAGAATTTCTTGAAGTTTTTCCCTGGACTCTGCCTTTACTAACATCTCGAATCTAGATCTAGAGATCTAGATTCTAGATCTAAAGTTGTAATCTAGTGGCAGGTTGCAGATTTCTGTTGTTATCCATTACATTCAAGAGATTAAATAAATTGGACTAGACTCTAGATCTAGTAGTAGACTCTTCTACTTCTACTTCTAAACCTTCGAGGTTACAAAGGCCAAGCCTAGGCTTGTAAGGATTCGTTTTGTTAAAAGTGTTGTTTAACACAAAGTCTATGAAGTTAGCAAACCTAACACATTGTTTTCTAACGAAATGAAGCTTAAATTGACTTTTATATTGTCAATAAGAATCACCTAATCATTTAAGTAAAGAAGTGGCTATCCTCGCCCAGGGTAAGAATAAAAACCCTACGATTGACCTCTCACCCCGGGTGAGACTTGCAGCGTTGGCTATTCTCACCCAGTGTGAAACAAGACGTTTTTCCTAATTTCGAAATGCTTTCTATCGGTGTGGATGATCAAATTGACAAAAGCAAAGAAAAAAATGACGTTATAGCACAAAAGTAAGCTAATTTGATCGTCTACAAAGATGCTATGGCTCTTTCACATTTCGAATCGACCGAACTACGCGGGTCGCCATTTTGTTTTGATCGAATGTTATCGCAAGATCTACTCCTCTCTCTCTCTCTCTCTCTCTCTCTCTCTCTCTCTCTCTCTCTCTCTCTG